TTTGTTTTTCGTTCTGTCCCCTTTCGTAATGACTAAACAAGTCGCTGATTTTAAGCCTCGAGTTATCGTACTTTTCAAAGAACATTCGACGTGAGGATTGACGAAAGGTGTAGAAATTCTTCCTGAATCAGTCGTCACTCGTTTTCAACTATTGTGTCACGTCTTTTTAAATTTACCGTTTACTTTTTACTGGCCACCCTGTAGTTATAAAATAATAACAATGAAAATGTTTTATCTAAAAAGTACGAACAATAAAATAATTACGAATAATCAAGAGTAGTCTCCCCTTGTATTGTTACTCTCCTCTTTGAGAGAGCTATTTCTGCCTACTCACATTATACGTGAACCTTGTATTCTCAGTTGAATAAAATATTTTGTCATTACAATAATTATGTGAAACTCGTAATAAATTAATAATAAGTAAAAGGCATTATCCAGAATGTAACAATTTAAGGCTGAATAAAACTGGAATAAAAATTTTACTGGAAATTCTTCATCTAATACGTATCACATCTAAAAAGATAGAATATAATGTGGTGGGGGGGCTTCCATAAGAAAACTATAAGCGAAAAGACTTCATTTAAAAATTGTAAAATATGTTTTAGAATATTTCAAATATAATCATCATGATTATTTTCGTATTATATTTCTATTTTATTTTACATTTACCGTTCGATCTATTCGTTTCGTATTTTTTCTCTTCTTATTTTGTTGTCATCAAAACCCTTCTGGCTATTAAGTGACACATCTTTGATGAAAAAATAACTGTCAATAATTAAACAGTGAGGTTCAAACAAGCACTCAAAAGGATCTTAAAGCAAATGCTGACGCTTCTAACTCTCTTTTTTTTTAAAAAATAAATAACGATGGCTTCTGTTTTTGTTTATCTTTTCTATGCGAAAAGCATCCACAATAACAACAAAATGGCGCCTATTCCTGTGATGTTAAACGCTTTGGAAGGGTGTCTCCTTTCTAAGCTGGTTCAGGATAAATCTTAACCTGACTCAAATTGCAAAAGCAGGTTTTATCGTAATAACGAAGTGCTGATATTTTAATTCATTCTGATAAAAAAAAATCCTACCAAAACTACAACTTACATTCAAAGGGAAAAGGTAATGGCTATCAGAATTAAGCGAGCTTAGAGCAGAAATAAGGCGCTACTCCATGGTCCTTAAATCTGGCTTTGATGAAGCATATACGAGGGAGCTTAGGACTACATATGCTGTGGCAAGGCAAGAACATTAAATGAAGAAAGAGCTCTACGGAGAGTTGCAAATATGAACGGAATCATTACGGATTGGAATTCTGCTATTAAATGGAAACAATTAAGGATAAATCTTAGCCTGACTCAAATTGCGAAAGCAGGTTTTATATAGTAATAAAGAAATGATGGTGTTTTAATTTTTTCCCGATTAAACAAACCTAACAAAACTACATTCTTAATAACTTTTAATCCAACTTTTAAAACGACACATTATATAAAGCAAACTTGAGCCGCAGAGATAATTTAATTTCTCATCTGTTTTCTTTCGTTATTTCGAAAATGAAAGCCGCAAGTGTTAACTTTTACTCTATTTGCCCCTCTACCAAAATTTGTGGCACAGAATAAATCTTAAGTGAAGTGCTTTCCCTATTTAACAATTCTTTCAGACTAGCATTTGCATCACACTAGAAAGAAATATACTGAGGCAAGTCGGCGGCTTCAAGTACGTTGGTTCCTGGATTCAAAATGAAATAGTAATGGCGATCAGATTTGGCAAAGCTTGAGGCAGAACTTAGACGCAGCTCCATGGTCCTGAAATCTGGATCTGACGGAACATATTCGAGGAAGCTTAAGGCTATGGTTGGTGTCTCAAGACAAGACTACGAAATAAAGAAGGAGCTCTACGGAGAGTTAGAAATATGATGGAAATCCCTACGGATTGGAATTCTGCGATTAATTGGAAACAACTGGGAGAAGGAAACGATCTCTTAATTAAAGAACTCTTGTGGTAGCCTAAATGCAAACGATGGAACCTGAATGTCGCCTGCTTAAGAAATGATACTGATTTGAGAAATAAAGAAGGAATGAAAATCATGGAAGGCAAAGATTGGGTGAAACAAATGTTTGAGTTCTTTCGAAATAGAAAAAAAATACACATATTTATCGCTTGTATAAGGTGTTCCAATAACTTATACCGATTCTAAATGTGAATTAATTTTAAGCGTTTAATTTTTTTTAATTATTTTTCTTTCAGATTTAAAAACTTAAGTCTTTGGCAATTTCAACCATGGAAAGACTAACAATCAGTTTGTTAAACTTATGGAAGCCTATTACGAAAATTGACTTTGAAACAGAAATGGATTTCGCGCACTTTGCGATTATTTTGGTCAACATAATCGACCAACCGAGAGTGCACTTTGAAAGACTGTTCGCAAATTCAAACAAACTGGGTCGGTGGCAAATATGAAAACACCATTGCGTGCTCGTTTACGCAATTCAGCTGAAAAAACTGCTGCAGTGCACGAGAATGTAGCCAAAAATCCAGACCCCTCTATTCGTCATCGTGCGCAGGAAGTGAACCGCTCCACAACACCGTTACATCGAATTTTGACAAAAGATTTGTCTCTACACGCTTACAAAATTCAATTGAAACAAGAACTGAAACTTGCTGACCATTTGGAGCGCTGTACATTCGTCAATTGGGTACACGAGCAAAGACAAGCCGATGAAGATTGTTCACAAAACATCCCCTTTAGTGATGAAGCCCATTTTCATCTTGGTGGATTCGTTAATAAGCAGAATTATTGCATTTGGGCTGATGAAAATCCAATGAAGATTGTTGAAAAGCCACTGCATCCACAAATGGTCACTGTTTGATGTGCATTTTTTGCTAGCGGAATCATTGGGCCGTATATTTATAAATTTGAATGTCCATTTTCGGAATAGGCTTCGATAACTTAAACACGTTGTTTGATTGTTATTCTTTCTATGGATGAAATTGCCAAAGACTTAAGTCGTTAAATCTGAAAGAAAAAAGATGTGAATTTTTTGCTAGCGGAATCATTGGGACGTATATTTATAAATTTGAACGTCCATTTTCGTAATAGGCTTCGATAACTTTAACAGATTGTTTGATTGTTAATCTTTCCATGGTTGAAATTGCTAAAGATTTCAGTTGTTAAGTCTGAAAGAAAAAGAAAAAAATCATTAGATGCTTAAACTTAATTCAATTTTAATATCGGTACAAGTTATTGTCACACACTAATCTATCTATCTATCTATCTATCTATCTATCTATCTATCTATCTATCTGTCTATAGAAAAATTGTTTAAAAGCCCATGCATCCACAAATGGTCACTGTTTGGTGTGCATTTTTGCTAGCGGAATCATTGGGCCGTATATTTATAAATTTGAACGTCCATTTTCGGAATAGGCTTCGATAATTTTAACACGTTGTTTAATTGTTAATCTTTCCATGATTGAAATTGCCAAAGACGTAAGTTGTTAAATCTGAAAGAAAAAGAAAAAATCATTGGACGCTTAAACTTCACATTTAAAGTCGGTACGAGTTATTGGAGCACGCTTTATAAGTTTGTTCAGAAAAACTATCCGAATTTAGAATAAACGTTTTAATTCTGGTAATAGTTGTACAAAAATCTATTAATAATTCCTAATGATTAACGCATTCTCTTTGTTAATTTTATGTCAATCTCTTGCAGAACTTAAGATATTATATACCCCTCATCTTGAACATGCACTTACTTTTATGTTCATGAATTCAAGATTGGTCATAATGCTTCTCAAACTGCCACCAACATTAACAGAATATAGGATGGGTGTAGGATCCACTTGTGACCGAACAGTGTGGCACTGGTTTCTGAAGTTCCATCGTGCGGAAACGAGGCTTGAATATCACGGTGGTAATGGGCGTCCATTTGCAATCGAAAATCAACATCTGAAAAGACTAGTCGAAAAAAACCCGGGTGAAAGTGCCAGAGAAATGTCTCAGATATTGGGTATCAGTATTTCAAGAATATCGGACCATTCTCAAGAAAATTGGCAAAGTGAAGAATTTCGATAAATGCGTTCCAAATGAATTTAGCGATTGTATATATATATATATATATATATATATATATATTTAGTTGGATAGATGAGTTTGTGACCCTGGGTTTCACGCTTTTAGCGATCGTCAGACAAACGAGTTTGTCTGACGATCGTGAGACCCATGGTCACAAACTCACATCTATCCAACCAAATATGTTAGCTCTATCTCTGATATTGATTTTCTAATAAGTACCACGCGCATATAATATATAAATAATTATATATATATATTTATTTATATTTATATACA